GGGGGGGTGTCCCCTCCCTGCGAAAAGAGGGCGCAGCGGCGGGCCAGGTTGGGGGGGGGTCTTTGGTGCGGACGCGCGCGCCGGGGGAGGGGGGCGCTGGCTGTGGAAGGGCAGAGGCAGGACAAAGCAGCCTGGATTCGTGGGGTGCTGCCGGTGCGGCGGCGGCGCGCCCCGATCCCTTCTGGAGTAGGGGTGTGGTGGAGGGGGTCCCCAAGTCCAGCGGCGCCGCGCCGTTTGGGGGAGGGGAAGAGTGGAGACGGAGACCGCGACTTGGTGAGGGGGCCGACGGGGGCGATCGCGAAGAAGGTGCGGGTGGCTGCGGCGCCGGGGCGCGTGTGTCTGGGCGGGTGGCGCCCCGCATTCCCTGAAGACCGGGTTCACCCAGTGTCGCGTCGCTGCCCCAAGATGGTCTTCTCCCTCCCGGGTTCCTAGCTTTCCGAGGGATGACGGTCGGTCGCCCGCCGTCGCCGCCGCCGCCGGGCAACTTGGGGGCGGGGAGAGGGGGAGACTGCGGAGGGGAGGGATCAGGGGGGGGGGTCCACATCCCAGGCCGAGGATTTGCGGCGTTACGCCCCCTCCTCGTCCCGCCGTCCCCGCTCGTCCCGGTTGCTCCCCGCCCCCCCCCCATCTCGGGGCACCCTCTCCGGCCTCGCCGGCGCGCCCCGCGGGGTTCTTGGGTTCCTTTGGGCGCTGCGCGCGCGTCTAACCCGACTGCGTGCGTTCCGCCGCAGGCTGAACAAAGCTCGGACTGAATTGTGCCTCCCGGACGCGGACCGCTTCCACCTGATGTCATCACGCAGAAGGGGGTGAGAAGGGACTCGTGACAGATTCAGGTAACGCTGGACCATCTGGGTAGCTGCTGGGGTGTCTCTGGGTCCCCCGGGCCCACAGGGCTGGCGCGGGGCTGCATCTTGGGAGCCTTCCTTCCCAAGTATCCGAAGGAGCCGGGACTGCTGAAACTCTTGATCCCGAGAGAGAAATGACGAATGGCTTCTTTTCTTCCCATTGGAGAGGTCGTTGGGGGCCCGGGTACCTCGGAGGTTGTATGAATTCCACCTGGCTGATGGGTATTTTGACCTAACCAGTCTGTAGGCAGGTGTTTTGGACCGGGGGGGGGGTGGGTTGGATGGAAGGCAGCGTTCTAACCTACAGGAATATATTTTGGCTTCAGTCTGTAGTTGGGGTATTCCTTAGTGGTTGAAAAGGTCGCCTTGTAAGGCTCGATCATAAATCTGACGACGCTCAGTGAGAGCTTTGGCCAAATGCTGTGACCTTATGAAGTGGTCGTCTCTGTCCCTTATCCTTTCTCTGCTACAGTGTTTCAGCGTCAGGAGAGTGGGGCTGGTAGCTCAGTGCCTTTGTGGTGTCTGGAAAGGTTGTTGGGGGACCAGAAAGAGAACAGAGAAACTGGGGCCTTTAGTTATCTTGGATGTGGTCGTGAACCATTAGACTCTCATTTTGCATTGTTTTTTCCCCTCCAAAAAAACCTCTGGCCAGTTCTTTTTCTTTCCAAGGATGGTTGTGTTTGTTTATCCACCTAACCCGCCCAAGGGTGATCTTGATTTTTGAAGTTTGGCAGACTTAACCTTCAGACTTCACCTTGGCCTTGGACTTCTGTCCTAGAGAGCCAAGCCCAGAGCATCCCACCCAAATAGACTGAGGTCTCAATTGTTGAGGAAATGGGCTCTTGGATTCTCCTCCTGGGAGACAGATTGCTGAGGGCCAAAGGCTACTAAAGCTGTACTCTGCTGCTGACTCAGGGCTTGGCAGATGTTCTTTAACCCTCTGTCTCCTCTCTCCCCCCCACCCAAAATCCCTTGAAAAATAAAGTTTAATGTGTGTCATTCACCTGTAAGGTAGCCTTGTTATGGAAGGGGACTTTAAAAAGAGCAAATGATACCTGCATTTATTTATTTATTTTACTAAAAGCATTCTATCTCTAGGGGAAGCAGTTATCTAGTCCCAGATGAAACAAAGGCCATTACTTTGCAAAGATGGAATTAGTAATCTGGTGCCGGGAGAAAGGTATTTTGACAAGTGATTTTATGTCAGCAGTAATCCAGGGTGTGTACTGTTGTGTTGCTGTAGGAGGCAGACCCACCTGATGGGATAATAGACAATGTAAAAATGCACCAGAAACAAGGGTGTGGTTTAAAAAAAAACAGAACAAATAAATTCTTCACTTACAAAATTCCACACGGGACAACTACAGCTTGCACATGCAAATGCATGCCCTAGAACAAAGCTAGCTACTGTACTGGGCTAGTTTTCACTGTGATTTTAAGTTATGTACAGAGATAAATAAAGCACTGTATTGATGTCTAATTTCTTTTTTATTGGGAAGGAGGCTCCCTACCTCCAGCAATGTGTTTAGCTGTAGTTTGGCGGAGTCAAGCTTTGCTTCTAGCACCTTTCTCAATAGGTGTTTATGGGCAGCAGATAGAGACACGTCTGTGAGAATGTCAAGGGGCGTGGGTGAAGGCTAGACACAAAGTGAATCACCTTCAGGAAGCTTACAAGAAGATGGAGAAATGGGGGCCTGATTGTCACTGGTTCCTTAGCGCTTCTGAGGAGGCAGGTGTATTGATCCATCCTCTGCTTGAATGCCCCTTTTCAGGGGGAGCTCTGGCTATCTGAGTGGCTGGGTCTGGGGTCAGCCTGTGATAGCTTTTTCTTCATAGTCCTTGAACTCTTCAGTGGAATCTTACAGGATCAGGGTGATCCTACCATGGTTGGGAGGTCATTTGGCGTTCACTTCTTCCAGTCTGTCCTGCTCCTACCTTCTCCTTCTCAACTCAAGGTGTTTAGTCCCTGTTATCTTTCAATTTTGAGACAAATTCTACTTTTTGGTATTACCTCCTTCAGAAAACAGATTAGGGGTGGAGAGACTTTTTGCAGTTCTCTCTTTTTAAGCAATGCTGTGTCTGTGGCAGGGGTTAGATTATGCTGTGGTAATAATGATCTCCGAATATCAGTGCTAAATTCAGGTTGTTTTTGTTTGAGGCTGGATGTCTAGCATCTCTTGCCAGTGGACCCCGCTCTGAGCTTGGTCATAGATCATTGCAGAACTGGAAAGGAAACATTACAAGCTGTCACTCTAGCAGCTGGTGCCCCCCACCTAGAAGAGCAGGGTACTACTCCAGCAACAAACACTCAGGTGTTTAGTATTTCAGAGTAGACACAGGTGAACTGGGTATGGGTGAGTGTCTCCGGTACTTTCCACACTGATCTGATCCAGAAAAGAGAGTTTCTACCTTGTGTCCCACAGGGTCTGACTGGGTGCTTCGAGGTATTTTGTGTCCCAAAGCATTGATTGAACAAGATCTTATACTGGTTATCAAATACAGTTGTAATAGTCATCTTTGTTTTGGTCTGTTTGGAATACTGGCTTAGGAATGAGGGGCCAGTAGCTGTTTCCCAGCCCTGTGCTTAGGAGGTTGTGTTATATAATACAGAGGTGTCTCATACTTACTCTCTCTTGCCATCTGCTGTTTTTCGGAGACTTACTGAGCTTGCTTGGAACAGCCCAGGTCTAAAAAGAATATCAGATGGGCCTGGACCTTCAGGCAGCAAATGCAACAGGTAGCCCTGGTGGAGGGAGGAATAATAGGCTTTAGGGTTGGCCAAAGTGATTTGGTCACTTCGTAACTTGGATTTTGTTGTTGTTGTTCCAGTACTGGGGCTTGAACTCAGTGCCTGGACACTGATCCTCTTCCATTTGAGCTACAGCTCTACTTCCAGCTTTTTGGTGGTTAATTGGAGCTGTGTCTCATGGATTTGCTTTGAACTGTGATCCTCAGATCTCAGCCTCTTCAGTGGTTAGGATGACAGGTGTGAGCTTTATGGCCAAAAGGCTTTTTCACGCCACGTGGATCATCAAGCACGCAGAATTCTTGCACATTTATGTTGGTATGAGGGTGGTGAGTTTGAAAGCCTTCTCTGCTGTGGAATAGGCCTGGAGGCTGTGGAATAGGCCTTACCAGGGGTACAGATCAAGCAGTTGGCAGTTTGCAGAGAGATACGGCTTTGGGAAGAACTAGCCACTCACATATCCTCATCCACACTGCCACACTGGGAGAATTGCATACATACATTAGAATTTTTAAGAGTTAGAGTGGAATGGAATTTAAGAATGGAATTTCACAAAATGGTATTGCTTCTGGCTCAGTCACCTTGGAGAAGTTGTTTTTAAAGAACATTCTCTGAATAGGTGACACAGTAAAGTGGCCAAGTTACCCTCCGAGTCACAGTGACTGAGAGGACACTGGTATGATTAGCTTAAGGATGGAGAGCTCCCCCCTGGGCCAGCTTCATCTCAGTGACAAAGTTCACCCAAGGGGGTTCTGAGCTGGAAGATGAGCAGCTGAGAGGACCAGCCATAGCCACAGACTATCCGAGAACCAAGTGTTGTACTATGGTGTTGTACTAGGTCTTGAATTCAGGGTCCAGGCCTTGGACCTTAACTTTTTTGGCTCAAGGCTAACATGCCACCATTTATTTGAGCCACAGCTCCACTTCCAGCTGTTTTGCTGGTTAATGGGAAGTAAGTGTCCTGTAAGTTTTTCTGGCCCAGCTGCCTTCAAACTGTGATCTTCAGATCTCAGCTTCCCGAATAGTTAGAATTACAGTCAGGAGCCACTGGCCCCCACCTCAAAATACATTTCTATGTTGTGTGTGGCCTTTGAGTCCTGCCCTCTTGAGTGCTGTTTTGAAGACAGCCGTTTGGGGGGGGGGCGGGGGAAATGAGTAAGGCCTGGTACCACCTGTAGAGGTCTCCACCACAGGAAAGGAGGAAGCTTCTGGGCTTCCTGTTCCTTTCTGTACAAGGTAGGCCCTGCATCTGCCTCTAGGATGGAAATCCTAGTTGAGATATGTGCTTCCGACTTTTTCTGTTTCTAGTTGACTTCAACGGCCAACATAGGACTTAAAGAGAAGTCTCTAGCAGAATCTGTGGAACTCCTATTTTCTTTTGGTTCTTGAGGCCCTATGTAGTAGACCACAATGAGCTACAGAGGCTTAGCCCAGTTGGAGGGGTCCTTTGCCAGCTCCTGAGAGTAGAGGAGTTGAATCAGTGAACCACTTGATGTGTTGATTCCTGTATCAATAAGTCCGAGCAAGCCCCCTGGATGCTGTCAGTCAGTCACCTGGACCCCTGCGGCAGCTCAACTCCACACAGCAGGGAAGGGGCTGATCAGATGGAGAGGTGCCGCCATCCATGCTCCTTTCCATGTCTAAATGTAGGTAGGCACACTGGCTGCCAGTCTCACTCAGGTTGGCTTCGACAAGGACTGATGAGATTTTCATTAAAGCTTTGACAGACACATGGGCATAGGGAGCTTTATTATTAATGCTGCTATTCTGCTTATTAATAGATTAACTGGCCCTCTTTGTAATAGTCTCTACATCTCCCTTAGGTTTATCCATGCCATGTCTGGCTGTGGCCCTGTTTTTTCCCTGGGCTATGAGAGTGTGCACCTGGTCTCTGCCTTGTTCCTCACAGGCACTCTTAAGACCGGGAGTCTGTTTATTGTATTTTAGTTTTTGTGGGTTTTTGGACTTGAGGCATGAATTCAGGGCCTAGTAGCTGTCCTTAGGCTTTTCCACTCAAGACTAGCACTCTTCCATAGCTCCACATCTGGCTTTTTGCTGGTTGATTGGAGATAAGAGTCGTTCTTGCCCAGGCTGGCTTTGAACCTCAGCTCACCACCTCCTGAGTAGCTAGGATTAACAGGCATGGGTTGCCAGCACCAGCCCAGGACGCTGTTTTTTAATGGTCATTTTTTTCCCTGATAACTTTTGGTGTCTGCTTTTTTTTTTCTTTTTCTTCCTCCTC